GAGGGAAAACCAGAACTTCAAAGTCTTACATAAGGCTGTCAAGCTCAGGGCCATCTGGATCTCAGGTGAAATGCTATTCTATAGGGCATGCGCAGCAACACAGAAGGCATGTGTGTTGGGTCTCATAAGATGACATTGTTTAAGAGATGAGACCAAGAGCATGCCAACCCTGCCAGATCCTATTGGATAGGTAGAAACAATCAAAGTGAGCTGGTCCCACAAATAACCAGGCCCTATGCCATAAAGTGCTTCAAAGGTGATAATCAGCATCTTAAATTGCATGTAGAAGCCCACAGGCAACCAGTGCAGTTTGCTAAGTAACACTGTTACACGGATATACTAACGTGTGCCTATAACTTGTGTGTATTCTTGAGTAGCTGTAGCTTGTGGGTAGTAATCTTCTGGGTAGCCACATCTGCCACTTGCTCTTCCAACAGGACTCTTGAGTTCAGGAGGACCCTTAGATTGGGGTCACCCCATTCAGCAATAGAAATGGACCCAGATTCACACATCCTCCAGACCCAAGTGGCCTCAAAATTCACAGCCACTCAGTATTGCTGAGGTTGAGTCTGAGTCTATTCCTCCTCCTCCAGTCTCCCAATCCTCTAGACACTTAGTCAGAAACTTGATGGCATAACTTGGGCAGCCAGAAGCTGAGTTAATTATCAGCATAATCAGTATGCTGATGATACCTAATCTCATGCCAGCAGATGATGTCACCCCACAGCCTAATGTTGATGTTAAACCGAAGCAGGGAGGGAACGGAATCCTGAGATAACCCACAAAACAAGGCTTGAGGGCTGGACCTCTCCCCCATATTAAACTGCATGGAACTAGCCCTCAAGGAAGGAGGAGAACCACCACATCATGCCCCTCAATTACCTGAACTGGTCCAGAAGGGTACCATGACTGATGGTACTGAAGACTGCCAAGAGATCAAGGAGGGCCAGGATGGATGCACTGTCTCTATCCCAGTCCTGCCACAGATAATCCACAAGAGTGATCAATCCTGTCTTGGGACTGTGCTTAGTACTGTGCCTTGCTCGAAACCTGACTGAAAAGGGTCCAGGTAATCCAAATTCCATATTCAAATTTGGAAACTGACTAGGGAAGGCCACTGGATAAAACGTGTGCTAAAGGAAGATAGGAAAATAGCAGAGAAACTGAATGATTTGTTTCAGTCTTCACTGCTGAGGATATAGGATGGATGCCAATATCTAAGCTGGCTTTTTCAAGAGGAAGGTCAAAAATAAAGTGACATGTCAAACAGAAAAAATAAAAATAAAAAAGTCCTGGGTCTAGATGATAACTACCCAGAAGTTCTTAAAAATGTTAAATATGAAATTGTTAATCTTTTCACAGAACTATGAAACTTCTCTTTAATTTTGGGATCTCTTCTTTGGGAAATAGCCATTGTGACCTTTAATTTTAAAAAGGGATCAAAGGATGATAAAGGAAGCTATAGGCTGCTGAGCTTAGGATTTATTTTCCACGAAATGATTAAAGTATTATGAAAGAAAAAAAATAAGGAAATACAATGTAGAACAAACATTACTGAAAAAGAATCGACATAGCTTTGTAGACTTTTTTGAGAGCACCAACAAACATGTAAACAAGGGTGATCTAATACCTATTGTACACCTGGACCTTCAAAGGCCCATAGCAAGTTATTTCCTAAAGTCTCCTGATAAGCTTAGCTGCTCTGAGATAAGGGGGACAGGTGGATTGGTAACTAGTTAAAAAATAGGAAACTACAAGTAGGAATAAATAGGCAATTGTCATGTTGGCAACATGTGCAAAAAAAGATCATTCAGGTAAGAATATTAGGAGTATTAGGACTCTCAATAAAAATAGACATGATTTGGATTTCAAAGAGTTTGGCTACTAAGGTTTTTAAAGTAGACATACTACCAAAGACTTTTCAGATCATAATCCTGTGAGTTTGGTTTATAAAAGGAAATCTAGTTCTTTTAGATGGAGACTAAATGAAATGTTGCTACAGAAAGAAAGAATAGTGGAAGATTGCAAAAAGAAATTAAAAGAATTTTTTGAAAATAATTCAGTTAAAAGTACTGATTTAAGAATGGTTTGGGATGCAAATAAAGCTTTTATTAGAGGTTATTTTATACAACATAATAGTGAACTCAAAAAGAAGTGTCAAGAGAAAACACAAACTATTTTGGATGAGATAAAGAGAAAA